AAAAAAAAAAAAAAAAAATACCTGTGTATGTATGTGTGTATGTCTGTCTATCTGTCTATATTTGGTGCTTCTACTTTGATGTCTGCATATTAATTTGGGGGGCAGTAGAATGAGCAGTTCATACTGGTCCTGATAAATTTAGTGGAGTAGCCAGATTTCTCAAGGTTGATCAAAGACATAATTCATTTAAGCCGGTAAGGTTAAAAGAGTATGAATAATTAAAACAAATTTTTTAGGACTAATTATTTTAGAGTTTTAGTGATTTATTACTCTATACCCTCCTTACTATGTGGGTGTTATGCTTGGAAGAAACAGACCTAAAGGATTTAATTTCCTCCACTCCTGGCACCTCCTCTCCAGTTTGCTCCTCTTCCTCAAGGATGAAGGCTCTTTTTCTTTTAAACTACTGTGTAAGAAGCAAGGATGTATTTCATGTGTGGATTTGATGGAATAAAGGACGTTTATGGGTTTGGGAAAGGGAGGAGGAGATTTGCTGTTTGCGTTTGCACAAACTGTCACGTATCTCTAGGTTCACATCTCAGTGCAGAAACTGGTAGAGTTGGTGCACAGCAGACTGGGCAGATACAGAAAAGTTGAAGTTTATAGACTCATTTTCTGCATTACTGGGAAAACTGAAAGGCATAACTGTTGCTATACCTTTGCAACTAGGTATATAATTATGTGCATAATTATGTTAAATAGACTTAATTTCATAGCTGGAAATCAGTTTAATTAAATTTATTTTATTGCAAATTAATGGATATAGTGTTTTCTCTTAACTCAGGGAAATTGCTGAAGCTGTGAAAAACTATAAGCCTAGAGTTCCACCTGCCACTGTGTTTGAAGGGCATATGTTACTGTCTGGTAAGTCATGAAGACATGGTTTTTAGATTTTTAGAGACCATTTGTAGATTAATTTAGTATATTTATTCCAAGTGGTAGTGATGTTTGTGCCAAACAACTTATTTATTAGGTCAAAAAAGAGTACATATTTTTTTGGCACTTAAATGAATTCCAGTGAAGAATCTTGTGTTTTTCTAGGGGTAGAAGCAGGAAGATGTTAACTTCCGGGGAAATGTGAATGAGGCACAGGTGGTTTGCCCAGGCAGTGCCCTTGGTTAGAATTAGAACTCACGTGGTCCCCTCTCTATTGTACACTGCTTTGAAAACATCTCTTAGTCACAGCCTAACAATTTTAATCATCAGATTTGCTACTAGTTATTAAAAATTCAAAACTGCCAAGGCTCAATGTTTTGTAATGATGGCAGCCTCTTCCTAGAAAATTTTGTTTGCTTCTAAAATATTATTGTTGCTGTCTTACATTTGCCATGTGTTCAGGGTTTTACAAAGAATTGTGTTTGGTTCTCAACAGTCCCCTGAGGGAGGCAGCCTCCCTTTTTCAGAGAGAGGTGTGGTAGGATAGTTTATTTCATCCTTAGATCTTAAAGCTGTTAATTGACTTCAGCCAAGGACTAACAATGAAAATTATCAACCTTCGCTAAAACTGAAATGAAGAGAACCATTTAGATATGATTTTTTAAAAGAATTTATATGTAAGAATGAAAGAATCCTTTTTTCCTGATTTAAATTTCATGTGCTATTTTTTTTTTAAAGATTTTATTTATTTATTTATTTTCCCCCCAAAGCCCCAGTAGATAGTTGTATGTCACAGCTGCACATCCTTCTAGTTGCTGTATGTGGGACCCAGCCTCAGCATGGTGGGAGAAGCGGTGCGTCGGTGCGCGCCCGGGATCCGAACCCGGGCCGCCAGCAGCGGAGCCTGTGCACTTAACCGCTAAGCCACGGGGCCAGCCCTCATGTGCTATTTCTAATTTGCTTTAAAAATCACCTTCAATCAGATTTTAAAAGAATGACATCAAACACTCTTTTAAATTATTCTTTTATAAATTGCAAACTTAGAAAAATGTAGTTTTTATATCAGATACTTCACGTTCATAAAAGATCAGAAGCACTTTGTGTGAAATGCTTTTCAGGCGATGACACAAGATCTCTTCAGCATTTAAATGTTGGCCTCTCTGGTGGCCTGCCCTGCAAACCCCAGGGTCTGACTAAGGATCAGGACACCCTGAGGCTAGCATGGAGGGGGAAGGCCCTGAGGATCATTACCAATGGGAAGGGAAATCATAAGCCAAAACTGGCAAGTGATAGTCTTCCCAGTCAGTGAACCAATAGCCTGGAATAGTGTTATAATTACCATCTTACATTCAGTATCTTCCTCTCCCTCATATCTGTTTCTTACCCAACCAAGGCTTTGGCAAAGGACTCAAAAGCCATTTTCTTTTATTAATAACAACAGCTATGATTGCTGGTGCTAATTTTGTGCTTATCAGTGTTATCTAGTCTCATTTTTACAATAACGTGATGAAGCAGATACTTTTACTGGCTCTATTTTATCGGATCAGAGGCTCAGAGAGGAGTTGCCCCAGGTTGTTCCCTGAGATAGCTGGGCAGGCCTTTGAACCGGAGGCTGGGTGTCCCCAGAGCCTGCCTGTAACCATCCAGCAAGACTCCCTCTCCTAATATTTTAGATATAATGAATAAAAGGAAAACAGTTACAGGCCTTTTCTGTTGTGATACTTTACACTGCATGTTGCTTTTTACCTAAGTGTAATATATCCACATTTATTAGCTAATATTTGCCCCTAAATGGGCCTGTAACAGGGGAGATGTTATTACCCCTTTGCAAATAAAGGAAGAGATGCCAAAAGTCCAAGTGGCTTGACCAGAGTCAACTCAGGAAGGAGCGGTGGACCTGCCCGGTAACTCCTGTCTCCCGGGGCTCAGCCTGGGCCCTTCCTCCTCTCCCCATTTGGCCTTGCTGGTTATGGATTCTTGGCCTCTGGATCAGAGACGTGGCAAAGCTCTAAACACACCATTGCTGGGATTAAGAAAGCTTGTTCCATCTGGCTTCAGGTTGATGTCCGAGTGGACAGCAATCCTTTTGATTCTAACTTCATGGCTTTTGCCCCAGACTCTTGGTTAAATTAATAGGGATATGATGATAATTTTTCTTTTTTTCTCAGAGTTGATATATGATTCAGGTCTTTAGAGAAATTTACAATTTTAAACCCTGAGGTATTTCTTCTTTTGTTGTTCTGGTTGTAAAAGTAGCTGCATCACACAGCCTTTGTTGTGTTTAAATATCCCTAGGGAACAAGGATATGGTCCTCTTTCACGTTGAGTCTCCTGTCTAGTCAGATGGGCTGTGGCACAGAAACTTTTTTTCTTTCTCGTGAAAACATTTGTTTTCTTTTTGTCTCATGTTACCATATGCATTTTCAGAAATTTTTCAAAATGCTTCTCCTTTTAAGGTCTAGAACCCTTCAGGATTGGACCGTACACCAACTTTGTTAACATTGGAGAACGCTGTAACGTTGCAGGATCCAGGAAGTTTGCTAAACTCATCATGTCAGGAAACTATGAAGTGAGCATCTTAATAAGACCCTTGAGGCATCTGCCATGTTTTTGGCTAGACAGTGTGTAAATAAAATAGCTCTGCTTTTGATAGTGTTATTTGCAGAGCTGCTGGGAAGTGTGAGAAGAACGGTAACGTGTGTTTGCAGCAGGCTCGGCTGGTGGGAGGATGAGGCTTCGAAAAATTGAAGCTGCTGTTGTCAGTATTTGTCAAAAAGTACTGCATTTGGGGTATGAAGTGGGACGAGATGGAAGGGATCTAGGTTCTAGCTATTTCTGTTAATTGTGAAATAAGTTTAAAAATTTGAGAACACTCTTCATTTTGGCTTCTCACAAATCCTTCTAGGGAAAGGGAAAGCCAAGAAGATTCCTATTCAATTCCTCATGACCACATCAAACACTGACTGATGTGGTATTATTGATTCTGTAGCTGTAGATGAAAATAAAGAAGCAAATGCAAAAGAAAGAATAGGCCCCTGCCTTGGAAAGTTTACATAATAGTTTAGCCATAATATTTTTAAGCTCGGTCACTCTGGGGATGAGCAAAATTTAATCCAAATAGAGCCTACTCTAAACATCTGGATAGATTTTCTTTTTCTTATGCAAATATGAAGTTGAAAATGGAGGAATTTGGTCTGAGCTTTAATGATGATTTATTTTATCATCAAACTTCTTTCACTTTACGATTTTGCAACCTTTAGGGAAATAGATCTTCCAGAAACCAGTATCAAAGCAGACTTAGTTTTAATCACAAAGAAAGGGCCCATTTATCATCCTTTATGGACCTGTTGATGACTACCCCATGGCATCCCTCAGAGGTGGCCCTGTGGGCACATTACTAGGGCCTGGTTACCTGTTCCTGACAGTTTCTGTCAGTCCTCTTCCCTCATTCCTGCTAGTGTTTACTGCTGCCATGTGCTTCTGTCATGGTCCTCCCCAGTTCAGAAGCTTTCACAGGGTGCCTTGTTTTTGCATCTAGGATGAAATCCAAACTCTTTAGGCCATCATTCAGCCTTCTCCACTTAGGCACCAGACTGCCTCCCCATCCTGATCTGTCACCGGAACATTCCAGGAGGCTTGCCTCTGCCTCTGTGCCTTTGTTCATGTTTGTTCCCTTCTGAAATCCTAATGACCCTTCATAGTTGTACAGTGTTCTTCGGTTGGCAATGTTTCTATTTATGTTTTAATTCTTATGCTTATTCTGTGGTGTCCTTTTAGCTCTCAGATTGATTGTTTGATACTGAGAGTAGAGGGCTTTTTAGGAAGAAGCAAACAAGAGGGAGTAATAATATCTCTCATTTAATAAGGTCTTACTAAATGCTAGTCATTGTGCTAAGTGCTTTGCAGGTTGGGCTAGCTCCTCTCTGCTTCTTCTGGTCCATCCTCCAGGGGCCAGCTGAAGACTCTCCCCTCAGGTAGCTTTCTCCATTTCAGTCCACAGAGACCTCGCCCTTTCCTGGTGTTTCGACATTCATGGCATTGACTCACACATTGTGTGGTAGTGCAGGTAGCTTTTATATATGTCTATGTCATGTGCCCCCAACTAGCCCTTCAAGAACAGGAATTGTGACTTATACTTCTTTTTATTCTTTACAGTATTTAACACATTGCTGATACTGGAAAATGTCTTTTGATTTGCTGCATTTTATTGTGATCCTTTTTCTTTGTGTAACCTTGGGTCATTACAAATTGTCTTTCCTTGTGGCAAAGGATTTCATGCCTATTCTATCACAGTGATTTCTATTATTATTCTATTTTCTAATAAAAATTTCTATTTGTTTTTCTTGGGCTAGGAAAAAATTAGGGCAACATCAGAATCTACTGTTGATTTTATCTCTACTTATTTTATTACACTATGAAGTGTACAGTGAAGACTTAAACAGAATAGAGTCTCTACTGTATCAATCAGTTAGAAAGCATTATCGAACATGTATATTTTGCCCAGCATTGTTCAAAGGAGAGTGGGAGATACGTAAGACCTTTCTAGATTTCCAAACACTTAAAATCTATTTTGAGAAATAAGCTAATACTCATGAAATCATGAGGAAATGATAATACAATAAACCATGTTGTGTGATAACGCTTATAATTGTTATAGAAGTTTAGATGTAGCAGATCACTGTGGAATAAGCAGTGTTTCCTGAAGTGAGTTCTCGGGAACACTGATCCTACAAGATATTCTTTAAATAGTCATAAGTGGGAAATGCTGTGTATTCTATTCTGTTTGTGGAGGTTTACAGTGTCTAATAGCATATTAAAGGATTTGAAAAGCCTTCCAGTATAAAAACCTACCAAAGTTTATTTAACTCACATTTCTTCTCATGTAATTCCTATCAACAGCCTACAATGAATGCTTTGCATGTTTTGGCAAATTAAAGAATTATGTAAGTTTTGGATGATTTCTCTAAGGACTTTTCTTGGAGGAGTTAGTTACTTGAGCTGGGTCTTAAACAACAGAGGGGAACGGTATTGTATTCCAAGCAGAGGTGACAACATGATCTGTGATACAGAGGTGGAAACAGACTTGGCTGGGTGAAGGGTACCAATGTGGGAGGAGTGGGAAGTTCAGTTAGGTAAGAAGATGGGGCCAGGTCACAGACAGCCTTGAACACCAGGCTAAGGAGTTTAGATTCTTTGTGGCAGAAAAAACAGAGCCTTGGTGGATTCTGAGTGGTGAAATGAGGCGATGGAAGAGATGTTTAAGAAAGGCTAATCTGTGATGATTGATAGGAGAAGAGCAGGCCCAGAGTCTGGGAGGCTGGCTAGTTAGTATAATTTGAAAGAACTGCTGGGGATGGTAAGGGATTACTTTTGTTAGCCTTCTCTTGAGTCACCTTCTCCTAATGCTACTTCCTCTTGCATTCTTTCTGCAGGAAGCACTGAGTGTTGCCAAAGTGCAGGTGGAAATGGGAGCCCAGGTGTTGGATATCAACATGGATGATGGCATGCTAGACGGTCCAAGTGCTATGACCAGATTTTGCAACTTTATTGCTTCTGAGCCTGACATTGCCAAGGTTGTACAAGATTTTTATTCACTAAGGGAATTTATGTCTCACTCTGTCTCTCATTTAACTTTGTCAGTTGTCCCATTGATCTGTCATCTCATACGCTGGTTTTCTGTTTTCCTATGTTGAAAGCCCCAGTGGTTTCTGATTGTCAGTTTTCTTGCTTAATGGTAGCCTTTCGATATAAATGAGACTTGAGAGAGAGATGTGACTTCAGCTTGGCTGTTTCCAAGGCTTCTGGAATTGGTCACAAGAGTTTATTGCGTTTCCTCTGATGTCTGAATAGACTAAGAACCCACTTTTCGTGTCTCTGGCGGATATACTTACCCGTTCCTACCAAATCATTAGTTCCATTCCTACCATAGACAAGGGAATTGAGTTAATTCTTTCGTATTGCAGGAAGAAGAGACTTCTTAAGGCTTATCAGAGTAAGACAAAATTACAAAACAAGATTAAATTAAGATATTATGTTAGCTTTTACATTTGTTCTTTAAAAGTTGAAAGTTAATTTTGTGTTAGTCTTTTTAAAAATTTTAGGTGGATTCTAAAAACTTTAAAAATCTCACTTATTTCTCTACCATTGAATTTTTGATGGAGAGTGATTTTTGAAGTTTCTTTTTTTTAACAAACTTCCTAGTGCTCTAAGAAATAGGGCTGTCAGTTTTTTATTAGGCTTTAGCAAATGCTTGGTTAGAAGTCTTGTGGTAAGCAGTGAATTACGTTAACCCATCCTTCATTTGTGTCTTAAAACTCCTCACTAAAAAGCCTCATCACTCCTCTGGGAGTAAATATTTTGAGAATTTAAGGTGCAGAGAAGCTAAATGACTTGTTCAAAGTCAATCAGAATGAGAGAGGGAGCAGTTGTTTATCAGCTGAATCGTGGGAGGAGGGCTGCGTTGGGAGTCGGAAGACTCGCCTTATGGTTTCAGGCAAGTTGATTAACTGTAGACCCCAGTTTTCTTCCTCATCTCTGAAGTGGGAATAATCATACCTGCTTTGTCTGATTTGTGAATCATAAAGAGAAAAGTGACTTTGTTAACTGTGAAGGACCCCATGTAACTGAAAGACATTATTAGTTAGTGTTTTGATTGCTATAGTAATTTCTCTTTCTTATCTTTCCTGGTTTTGACCTCCTACCAAGATTTATTTGAGACTAAATTTTGGACAGTGGGGTAGAGCATAGAAACGCTAAGTGCTTTAAAAAGTTGGCCTGGTATTGTCATTGCATTTGACCCTTTTCCTAGCAAACCTCTCATGACTAGGATGCTAAGAAGGAGTGAAATCGATGGATTCCTTCTTCTGTTTTGCTCTTCTTTGGAGGTGTGGCTTAAGGAAGAGCCGACTGCCCTGGGAACCTTTCCCTGAACTCTCCCTCGCCACTTGCCCCGTGTCATAGATTGGGTTTGTTACCCCTAAAGTATGCCTTCATGGCAGTCTGTGCTTCTCGTGTGCTCTAGCATTTCTCATACTTTATGTCGTTACTTGTTTAATCATTTATCTTTATAACAGAATGGTGGAGCCAGGGACCTGCCTGCCTAACCATTGCCTTTGAATTTGGCATGGGGCCCAACCTGGTCATCACTTAATTATTTATTGAACAAATTAATTAAATAATGGGGCCTAGATCAGCTGCCCTATTTCATTTCTTTGCATGAATCTAGTGCTTCCTTGAAGCCCTTACTTTCACCTTTCCTGGAACAGAGGCATGAGTACATACGGAGTATTAAAAATGAACCTATTCTTATCTGTGCATTCCAGTTTTGTCCTTTATTTTAGTTATATGCATTTGTTGAATATTACATCTACTTTTCCCTTCTAATAGTAAAACTCACTTTTTTTTCCATTCTGGAACTTGATTTTCTAAAGGGAAGATTGAATAACTTGGCTGGAGGGCTGTTACCAAGGATGTGAGGCTAAACATTAATCCCAGAGTCAGATCAGGGATGTCTGAATCCTACTTGAGGTGTTTGCCTCAGGGTTTAGGCACTTGAAAGTGTAAACTGGTACTAAAGCCAGTGAACTGACCTCAGTGATTCCATTCTGATGTTTAGCTATGATCTTTGAGTTACACATTCCTGGCCTGTGCATGGGGTCTCTTGTAAGACTGGAATTACTCCAAGTATTTTGGGCTTTAAGAACAAGTACATTACAATTCTCTCTCTGTCACACTACTATTATTTATTTATTGTTTCTCTGAAGAAGAAATAGGAAATATTGGGGAGCCCTTGGAAGGAAATTTGTGGTGACTTGTAGACTTTCTGTGATCTTCTTGCCCTCTGATCTCAGGTGCCCTTATGCATCGACTCTTCCAATTTTGCTGTGATTGAAGCTGGGTTAAAGTGCTGCCAAGGGAAGTGCATTGTCAATAGCATTAGTCTGAAGGAGGGAGAGGATGACTTCTTGGAGAAGGCCAGAAAGATTAAGAAGTTTGGAGCTGCTGTCGTGGTCATGGCTTTTGATGAAGAGGGACAGGTGAGTGATTTCTTTTGACCTAGCTCCATTGTGTTACTAGGTTAGACAGAGCAGTGGGAGAGAATTGAGTCCAAAACAGCCATATGTATATACACATATATGGTATATGTGATATATATATATATATCACACACACACATACACACATATCTTATATATATGAAAATTTGGTACATAATAAAGTCTTTACATCAGTGGGGAAAGGAATTATTCAGTTAATGCTGTTGGAACAACTGGCTATGCATTTGGAAGAAAATTAAGTTAGAGCCCCATTTCCCACCATGTACTAAGATAAAGTCTATGTCAGTTAAAGATCTGAATGCAACCAACAAAATTCTAAAGAATATATGAGAAACTATTCATCTAAACGTGGGAAGCCAGAAAGAAAATTGATGGAGCATCTACATAAAAATGTAAAACTTTGTCTTGCGAAAGACGTGGTACTATTTGCACATGAGTAATAGCAGTGGGTTAATAGCCCTAATATGCAAAGAGTTTCTATAAATCAGAAAGTAAAATGCCCCAATCAACCCACCGGAAGAATGGACAAAGGAAATGAATAAGGAATTTATAGAAAAAGAAATACAAATAGCCAATAAACCTGTGAGAGGATATTACATTTTGTAATGATTAGAGAAATAAAAAATGAAGCAATAACAAGATATTAGTTTCTTTTATCAAATAGAAAAAAAGTGAAAGATTGATAAGTGGCAGCTCTCATAATGTCTCTACCATGGAATCAGGGAGGGGCATGTGGGAAGCTTCAGACATAATGGTCATTCAACTGGGTGATGGGTGTGTAGTGACTATTGTATTGTTTTATTCCTCACGTGACTTTCATAAATATTTTTGTATCTATTCAATATTTAATTTAGAACAATAAAAAAATCCGTGCCTTATGATTCAGCCCCTCCTGGGAATCTTGTAACAGGTTGAGTATGTAAGGGTATGTGTTCACATTCATTGTAGCATTCTGATAGCAAAAAATTGAGAATGCTCTAATGTCCATTAGTAGGAGAATGCTTAAATCTTGCTACATGCCACATAGAATACTGTGCAGCACTTGAAAAGAATGCGGGGATGGAACCATGTCTACAATAAATTGAAAAGTGAAAAAAGCAAGTGACATGATTCAATTTTTTTTTATAAAAAGATTTATATGGATATATGTTTGTCTGTATAAGCAGAGAAAAATATCTGGTAGTTGTTAATTGGAGCATAGGGGTGGTCTCAGATGGGGACACATTGACTTCTTATTTATGTAATTGCCAAATGGTGGTATTATATGTCCTTTTTCTTTTCTCTGTCTTTTGTATTTTTAAAATAAAACTATTTTTAGCAAAAGTGTTATTGTTTTTGTACAAAAGATGTATTTTCATAATGGGAAAAATTCAAATAATCCAAAAGAGTACAAAAGAGAGATAATTTTGATAATGAATGTATATTAGACCTTTACTTGTACCAAGCAAGCACAGTGCACACATTAAATCAGTATTTCCTCCCAACATATAAAGGTTGGGTATATATTCTTATTACTTGTGTTGCACGTTAGGAAACCAACAACACAAAGACGTTGCATGACTCACTGTTGTCACACAGGTATCAAGCAATAGTGCCAGGAGTCCAGCCTAGGCGAGCTGGCGTCATTCATTCATCAGGATCTGTGCTAAATGGTGGGGTAAAAGAAGCCAGGGGAAGGCTGTCGGGGAAGAGTTGGCTGTTATAGCAAAGGTGGTCTCGTAAAGCCCTTCTGAGGAGGAAACGTTTGAAAACCTGAGTAAAATGAGAAAGCCATGTGGCTATTTAGGGAAAAAGCAGAAGAGGTTCCAGCAAATTGAAAATTTTGTGTAAACGAGATTCCATCTGCTGTTCTGTAACTCTTTCCCCCCACTCAACAGAATGTTGGCATCTTCCCATCTTAGTAAATATGCATTATAACTCCATCTTTTTGGTTGCATTATATTCCAGTATATATACGTTTTACTTAGTCTATTATTGAATGAAATTGTGATTGTTTATAATTTTTTAGAAGAATGAACAATGGCCAATGAATATTCTAATTCATGCAGCCGTTTTCCCTTTGTAGAATGATTTTCTTAGAGTTAGTTCGTAGAAGTGGGATTGCAAGGTCAAAAGGTGTGAACCTTTATTATTTTGATACACATTGTTAAATTGTCCTTCTGAAAAGTTGCATCTAGTCATCTTCCACCACTAGTTTAGTGTGGTGGGATCTTTCGATATAAGTTTTATTTTTACCAAAGTTATGTATGCAGATAGATAAAGAGACAAATAGTTCTATAAGCCTTTTTATGAAAAACAGAAGTCCCCAGATCTCCAGATCCCCAGAGGCAACCAATTTTAACTTTTTTAGCTAATTCTTGTAGCATCTCCCTCCTTATCTTCAAATTCCAGTCTTAGTTATTGTTTATTGCCTTTCTGTATAGTCACAAGCTGCATAACAATGTTTCGGTCAATGACAGACTGCATATACGATGCAGTACCATATAGCCTAGGTGTGCAGTAGGCTGTATCATCTAGCTTTGTGTAAGTACGCTCTATGATGTTCGCACAATGACGAAATCACCTAACGATAACATTTCTCAGAATGTATCCCCGTCATTAAGCAACACATGACTGGGGGGGTGAAGGATTTGGCTTTTTCACCATCCTCTACCCCCACTCCACACGTCTTTACTTTTATCCCCCCATCCTCCCAATATAGTTAATTTTAGTTATAACTATTTTCTGTGCTTACATTATTAACTGGTGTAAAGCATATACAAAACTGAGCCATGTAATATGCCGTGATTCCTTTTCCTGTCCTGCATCCTATTTTCCACGAAGTTAATGCTTATCTTTTTGTTTGCTTTGTTTCTTATGTATTTCACCTTCAAACTCTCTCCTGGTTGTGTAGATTTCCAATAATCCAGTGTACACAAACACATTAAATAGACTGTCATTTTAATTTCTTGAAGAATTCTCTCTCCAAGTCTTCTGACAGGATCTGGAAAGGTTGCTCAGTAGGCCGACTGCACAGCGTTCACCGTGAGACATCTCTCACCACCATCCTGGGGATTCCTCTTGCCTCTCTCTTAGGTTTTCAGATCTCATAATTTCCTCATTTTTGGTTTAATCTCTCATTTGTTGGAGTGCATTCTCTGGTAGATTCTTGTGAAAGAAAACATGCCAGTAAATATTTTTGAAAACTTACATGTTTGAAAATGGCTTTATTCTACATTTACACTTAATTAACGATTATATGGATATAGGAGCACAAGCTTGAAATTATTTTCTCTGTCTTAAAGCATTGATCCATTGTTTTCTAATTTCCACTGATTTTGGTAAGAAGTCCAGTGCTCTTCTAGCCCTTGATTCTCTTTGTGGCACTTATTATTTTTCCATTCTCTGGGTGCTTCTTGGATCTTCCATGTCCACTGTGTTCTGAAATCGCATGATGACGAGCCATCTGTTTGTTGGGCACTTGATAGGCCCTTTCGGTCGGGAAACTTATGGCCATAGTTGTAGGAAGTTTCCTTGAATTGTTTTATCCTCTCTTTTGGCATGTGTATTATTCAGATATTGGATGTCTTGGAAAGGTTACCTAATTTTCTTATCTTTTGCCTCTTATTTTCCAACTCTGGTGTTTTGCTCTGCTCTGTGAGATTTCTACGTCTACATTTATATACATTTCTACATTTCCAAATTCTCCATTGAGTTTTATTTCTTCTTTTTCCAGGAGCTCTTTTTTGTTATCTAAATGTTCTTTTTAAAATTTATAGAGCAACCTCTTACTATTTAATGGAGGCAAATATCTTCTCAAATATATCTTGAGAACTTAATATGTGCCAGGCCTGGGGAGATAGCAAGCAAATAAAACGTAGTCCTGATCTTGTATGATTTATATTCTTGGGGGCAAAGGAAATGAGAAATAAAATACACACACATACTCTCCAACGTATATGTTGAATGATGTTGAATACAGTGGAGGAAAATTAAGAGGATCAGGGTGATAGTACCAGGGTGAGGGTGGGGGATGCTATTCTGTATAGGATGGTTTGGGAAAGCCTTATGGGTAATAGGGCATTTTAGCAGAAGCCTGAAGCAGCTGAGGGAGTGAGCCATGTGAAAATGTGGGGGAAGAGTGTTCTGAGTAGAGGGGGCGCCTTGAGACAGATACATGCTTGTCATGTTTGAAAACCATCAGGGAGGCCAGCAGAGCTGGAGCAGAGGGGAGAAGAGGAGAATGGGAGGATATGAGCTTACAAAGGTGGCAGGTAAAAATCACATAGGGCCTTGTAGACCATTGTTAACACTTGGGCTTTTACTGTGAGTGAGCTTGGAATCCATGTTTGAACAGAGGAGCAAACATAATCTGATTTATGTTTTAAAACCACTCTGGTTCTTTGTGGAGAATGGTCTTTAGGGGCAAAGCAGAACTATTAGAGGTTATTGCTGTAATCCAGATGAGAGACGATGGTGGCTAGGACCAAAGTGGAAGCAAGAGAGGATGTGAAAAGTCATCTGTTTCTAGATATATATTCAGGTAGAGCCAGTGGGATTTGCCTTCACATTGGTTGTGGGTTGTGAAATCAAGAGGAGTCGGATAATTTCAGGGTTTTCTGGTCTAGGCAGTTGAAAGATTGGAGCTACTGAGATAGGGAAGACTGTGAGAGAAGCAGATTTGGGATGGGGTAAGGAGAAGTTTGGGTTTGGACATACTAGGTTTACGGTGGTATGGTGAGTGTGCGGTTGCGTAGATGAGGCTAGGTTTCATGGGCAAAGTCCAGCTTGAAGATAGGATTCCCTTACTTGGGAATTACTTGTACATAGATGGTATTTAAAGTACTGAGATGACTGAGCTCACCCAAGGAATGATGTAGAGAGAGGTCCTAGGACCCAGTGAAACTTGGAGCCACAGCGCTTAGTGGTTGGCGAGAAGAGGAGATGCCATCAGAAGGATCTGGGAAGGAGCAACCTGTTTGGTAGGAGAGGAACCAAAA